ATTGAACTGGCTGTTAATCCAATATTAAATACCCAAGTATCAAAGTCACACAAATTTGGCTTCTTATTTTGACTGACTAGCTGTCTTTTAAGAGTTGCCCACTGCATTTGGTATGAAGGTGGGAGTTTCTGCAACAATTGGTGGAGTAAACATGAATTATTTAATTCATCTGGCAAATTGGCGGCATTAATTGTGGCAATCAAACTACGAACATTTATTGCAAAGGACGTAAGTGATTGTAAATTGTTTTCATCAACTTTAGGGGAAGAATTAATTCTATTTTTTATGGAATATAAAATCTTTTCAGGTTGACCATATAGTAAGCGGAGAACATCGAGGACGCCAGAGACGTTTGAGGGATGTACTAGCATATGTTGGACGCTATGGAGTGCTTCGCCTTTTAATGACTTTTGGAGACGGATGAGGTTTTCGGCGTCTGAAAAGCAGCAAGTAGCGGTAGACCACTCGAATGTAGATATAAAGAGCGGCCAGTCTTCGGGATTTCCAGAGAATACTGGCAATTCTTTTGGAACTGCTTGTCTGGAACTTATGCTACTTTGCTGAAGTTGTGTGTTATTAAAATATTGTGTTGCTATTCTTGAATTGTGTGTTTGGGGGTGCATTGTGGATGAAATAGGTTCATTATTAACAAATGATTGTTCTATAGGTGAGTTACCATTGAATGCTGCGTTTGAATTAAAAATCGGGGGAGCAATTGACGTGTTATAATAGGGTATGTTTGAAAATGTGACAGCAGGTGGGTGTGTGGCGTTCTGTGGGCATGAATAAAAAGGTCGTCGTTGATGACTACTACTGGTGGTGATGGCCGGTGCACAAATAAGTCCGGTGGTTGTGACAGATGAGCATGGATCATTAGGGACCACACGGGAATGGTATAGTCCCGAACTTTGAGGGATTTGATTGGAGATGCTACTTACAACATTATTATTTTGCTCTGCCAGCATAGTGGGAATTTCCAAACGTGTGGTTTGGTTAGGCATATTGGTTTCTTGGAGATTTATATTGGTTGTTCTTTGAGGAGTTTCAACAGAATTATCTACTGGTTGTTTATGGAATGGCAGTTCATTTACCCAATTCCGAATAGATTGGGACCTATTAGACGAGGCGTTACTTATATCATCAGCTTCTTGGAGAAGCTGATATTTCTTATTTAAGTATTCGCGATGTAATCTAGCTTGCTTCTCATTTAGTGCTCGCTCTTCTTCAAGTCGTTGAAGCTGTAATTGAACATTACGCGATTGGGACAGTTGAGATCGAACAGAGAGGTGGCTGGTGATACTATTTGCAGGTGAAGTTGAACATTGTGGGCACCGAAAGGGTATGTTGTCTCTTATGTTAACGCAACTTGCGTGAAAGTATTTGTTACATGTGGTACAAGTAGCCATTTTATCGTCGGGTGACTTGTGGCATTGCGAACAATTGTTATCATTTTGTTGTTGACCCTTTGCAATGTCTTTATCCATTTGTACTTACTGCGAAATTGGCAATGACTTTTACGATGTAGGTGATTTCGGTAGAACCTTCGTATCACAAAAAGAATTTTAAACTGTTATAGCGGCAAATAGGCCGAGATAGTGACTTCCACGGGATTTTGAATAAAATACAATTCGTTTAATAAAAGATCTTGATTTATTAAACGCAATGCACTTATATTAAAATTCCTAAATAAAAAACATAATTAGGATTCGTAGAAAATATATATATAAAAAATAGACATACTTTTTGGTATGGAAACCACTATAACTTAAACAAATAATTATTCCTGGACACCTCGTATCAGCCAACTTGCTAGTATGAAATTCAGAATAAAATGGCCGTATCCGAGGGACGCCTTTTGACAATCAAATTATTTCGTTAAATAAGAATACTAAAAATGAATACATTATTGTCAAATTGACAATAACAAAAATGATTTTCTCGTAAAAACGATGCTGCCAAATCGGGATCCAAATTAGGCTAATTTTAGGCGTGGCGTCAACAGGCATTTTGCCTCAAAAAGTAAATTGGTTCATGTTTTGGCATAACTCATAGATAACACTCTAAACTCGCATTTTCTGTTCTTAAAAATTGAGAATCACATTACAGATAATTTTCGATATAGGCCAATAATTTGACATGCAAAGATCCCTCCCTATTTTCGGTAGAGGCCCATATTTTGACTTATCTCACATCTCGGTATTTTAACCGAAGTTTCTCATTTAAATTAGAGTAGTTTGGTATTCTATATAGGACCAGTTTATTTTGTAGCCCCTTTATGTGGGCTATAACATAACCTGTTGCTATATAGAAAAATTAACCTCAGAGATGGTTGGACATCCAAGCGGCCGGAATGTCAAACTACTCTAATTTCGATGTGAAACTTCGGTTAAAATACCGAGCTCTGGGATACGTCAATGAATTTTCTAGCAACACGTTATTTTATAGCCCCCACATAAAAGGCTATAAAATAACCTGGTCTATATATAATTTTAACCTCAGATATGCTTTTGAGTCCATTTTCATTTTGATTATCTTGGTATCAATTTTCCACCGATGTAGTACATACCTGGTTCTTGGAGGGTGAAAAATAACGGCTTTACTTGCTTTCTAAATTTCAGGAGTTTTTGGACAACTCTCATTAAAAAATATTATGGCAGAGATATTACTTTCAAATCATTAAATATCTCATAATGATATCCTGAAGGATCATTAGTTTTTATCAAAAAATTAATGCCATAGCAGCCACAAACACCACATATAACATTTGAAGTCTGAAACTAAGAAAAACTCGTCTGGCATTGGCATTAATTGAATTCTAGAGAGAAAATAAATTGATGAACGTGTTATTACGACGAGACAATTAGGTTTGCAACAAAAGCGGCCAAACAACTGGATAGCAAGCAAACAATTTTGTATCCGAAGAGTTTTTACAGCTAAATAGACTTTGACAAAGACGAATAAAATAGAAACAAGACAACAACAAATCATTGCCAATGTTACTGACTGACCAACACAGCATGGAGGCCAAATGTCCTAAGGTCAATGCTGAGACATTAGTTATTGATTTTTGGAGGTTATTTCATTTTTTCGGTTAATGATGTCATTGTTGCGGTTGTGGCTCTGCTGGTCACCAATGCAACTTACACAGAAGGAAAATATATTTGAAAATAATCGTGATACACTAATTTCTTGCATATTGTAAGAAAACGATACCCATGTATTTTAAGACTGAAGCCTCCGTTACCATTCCTCCGTTATTGTCCCTTTCAGTTTTCTTTTTCTGCTGAAATAATAAAAAATATTTGCAATCATAACCAGTAAGGAAAGTAGTAAAGTCGGACGGGGCCGACTATATGATACCCTTCACCACTATGGGTATATTAAACAGGACTATTAGCATGTACTTGAATGAAATAAAACATGTGATATTTATCTAAATGTGAATCTACGTAGATCTATCCATAAAGTATGTAAATCGACTTCAAACAAATATAAATAGGTCATCCGTTGGGCTATGTCTGTACTTCTAGAAAACGAAACTACATAATTCTATGCCCAATTTTGTACGTTGTGCAAAATTTGATGTCAAACTGACTAACATGACGAGTTTGAGGCCCAATTTACTTGATATCGGGCCAAATATTAAGCGATTTCAAACAAACTTGTCACAGGATACGTTATACTAATTTCAGAACGTTTTGTTCCTATTGGTTCCTTGGTGCGTCAAGTACTTAAAATCAATATTTAATAAAAGGGAGCTATATCTAAATGTGGACCGATTTTCACGAAACAACGCAGACATCAATCTAGGCTCAATTCAGTACGTTATGCCAAATTTCGTGCAAATCGAAAGATATATAGGACTTTGGGGTACCATTTACATGAAATCGCATGAAACTATATATGGGAGCTATATATAAATCTGGAACGATTTTCACGAAACTTTACATACATCATTCTAGACCTAAATGATTAGGCTGTACCAAATTTCGTGCAAATCGAAAGATATATAGGGACTGTGGGGCACCATTTACATGAAATCGGACGAAACTATAAGTGCGAGCTATATAGAAATCTGGACTGATTTTCATAAAACTTGGCAGACATCCTTCTAGGCTCAATTAAGTACGTTATGCCAAATTTCGTGCAAATCGAAAGATATATAGGGACTTTGGTGTACCATTTACATGAAATCGGACGAAACTATATATGGGAGCTATATCTAAATCTGGACCGATTTCCACGAAACTTTACATACATCATTCTAGACCTAAATGAATAGGCTGTACCAAATTTCGTGCAAATCGAAAGATATATAGGGACTTTGGGGCACCATTTACATGAAATCGGACGAAACTATATATGGGAGATATATATAAATCAGGACCGATTTTCATGAAACTTGGCAGACATCATTCTAGACTCAATTCAATACGTTATGTCAAATTTCGTGCAAATCGAAAGATATATAGGGACTTTGGGGCACCATTTACATGAAATCGGACGACACTATATATGGGAGCTATATCTAAATCTGGACCGATTTTCACGAAACTTTGCAGACATCATTCTAGACCTAAATGATTAGGTTGTACCAAATTTCGTGGAAATCGAATGATATATAGGGACTTTGGGGCACCATTTACATGAAATCGGACGAAACTATATATGGGAGCTATATCTAAATCCGGACCGATTTTCTCGAAACTTGGCAGAAATCACTCTATACTTAATTCAGTACGTTATGCGAAATTTCGTGCAAATCAAAAGATATATAGGGATTTTGGGGCACCATTTACATGAAATCGGACGAACCTATATATGGGAGCTATATCTAAATCTGGACCGATTTTCACGAAACTTGGCAGACATCATTATAGGCCTAAATGATTAGCCTGTACCAAATTTCGTGCTAATAGAAAGATATATAGGGACCGTTTACATTAAATCGGTTAAATTTATATATGGGAGCTATATCTAAATCTGAACCGATTTTTCCCAATTTCAATAGGGTTCGTCCTTGGGCCGAATAAGTGACCTATGCCAAATTTTATCCAATTAGGATCATAAATGCGACCTGTACTTTGTTTACAATTTAACATGGACAGACAGACGGACGGACGGACATGCATAAATCGACTTAGAAAGTGATTCTATGCATATTCTCAAAAGGAACCATGGGTCTATCTCGATTATTTTTGCCTGTTACAAACATATGCACAAAGACATAATACCCTGTACCACAGTGTGGTGAAGGGTATAAAAATCTGTTTCGTTCCTCATATTGATAGCCTATTTACCAATGTACTACCCCTTCCCTGCCTTTTTTTGCAATAAATGGTTGCAAGTTCTGCCTTTTGTATTTATATTACGGGTTTGGCGATACAGAAATCAAACTAGACCGAGCAG